TCTCGATATGCTGTAATGATTTAATTTACCACATTCCTCCTTTTTATCTCTATAGCCCATGTATGCTCTATTCAGACCAAACAGCCAATATGGCATAAATAACATAAGTGGTTATGGTCCTTCTGGGGCAACACACTAACACAAGTATATCTAATATAGTTCTTATGCTAACATGCAGCATTGCTTTTGAAAGTGTAACCATGATTAAATACCTCAGTTGCCCATATATGCTCTATTCAAGACAGACCACTGATATAACATAAGTAGTTATGGTCCTTATAGGAAAACGTAGTAACTTAAACAAGTGTAAAATATTTCTCATACTGACGTACAGGTTTACTTTTAAATATGTATCCACAGTCATATAACCCCTTCTTTCATGTGCCTTCCCCCTCCCCCCCACCACCGCCTTTGTCCCCTGTTTATCCTGCCAATGATTCCTTGAGTCCATTTGGTGTACTTCAGGCATTTATACAACATTGGGTTGCACTCATGCTACCCCATAATGGTTTTAAATAGGTCTCGTAACTCAGTCAGGCAGACTCAGGGAGAAACTTCATTATCCCCCCTATACCTAGAACCTTAGTCAACCATAACCAATTCCCAAGGTCCTAATTGCTTCCACTTGACTCTATTACTAAATTAAATTGATTTAATTAAGTCATGCTAAGTGTGCGTCCATCAACAGTATTTGCTAAAACGAACTAAATTGCACAGGATATTCTTTTAGAATACAGTGTATTCTTAAAATACTTGCGAAATGGTCATCTTATCCGTTGGCTTTTCCGATCTGCGGCATCGTAACTTCATAGTTGCTTTATCACGAACTTGTTATTGCTAGTCCTGGAATTTAAAGGGCCATACCCCATACTTGAAAAAAAAGGAAAAATCATTAAAAAAAAAGGGTCCCAATTATGTCGAAGGTGTTTATTACCCCCTAGTAAATTCCATAGTAAATTCAATGTGCTGAAGGTTTTCCTGCCATCTTCCATTGTAGCCAAAATCTTTGAGGGACAGCAACTTGCATAGATGTAGTTTCCTCGATATTCTCAAGTCCCCAATCTTTGAAGGTAGCAAGACCAGTAACTGGACCAGCCAAAACTATCAGCTTACTATTCCGCCATATTAGTATTTTGGTTGGGAACCCCCATCGATATGGCATTTTATTGTTACGCAGAGCTTTAATGATCATAGAGAATTCCTTACGTCTTGCCATGGTAAGAGCAGATAAATCTGTGTAAACAGAAATCGCCTCGTAGGGGGAAGGTAGTATCGGTGTCTTGCGGATTGCTGCAATTAGTGCTTCCTTTGAAGTGTAACGATAGAAACATACACACATCACGTGGTATATCTGCCATTAACCATGTGTGTCTTGGCAATCCGTGAGCTCTTTCTATCTCCCATACACCCTTCTCCAGGGTGGCACAACAGGTTGTGATATATTCCACAATTTTCTCTGCTGTTATTGATTCAGGCACACCTCTGAATCGTGCATTGTTCCTGCGTGACCTATCTTCCAAATCAGCAATCTTATGCCACAGTTTAATATTTTCTTCATCTATCTTAATAAATTTATCAGCCATTTCATTATGGGCTATACAAAGTTCATCAGCTTTCTTTTCCAAATGATCAGTACGGTCACACAATTCTGATAGCTCCTGGTGTATACTTGATGTAAATCTTCACTTATGGTTGCCCTTAAATCTTGAAGTATTTGTTTTAGAAATTCTTTAGAGATCTGCCCTTCACCTATATTATCTTGTATAGAATCTGTGCCCCGGCGTCTGTATCAGCCTCGGCGTCATCTTGAGCTTGACGCTGTCGGTCTTTTTTTACATACCGCGACGGGTCTGTCACTTTTGTCTGTTTTGACGGCGCCATTTACTTTTCACAGTCACAATCACAGCGGTTATAATTCACCCTGGAACGTATCCAGGAACCTTTGGGGTAAAGACACTCGTTAGCTTACTGGCTTGCCTGCTTGTTTAATGCTGTTGCACTGGCTCTGCTTGGAACAGCGCTCTCACCCCATGTGTCCGCTCATGCCGGAAGTCAAGCACGGCCCACCAGACACGTATTTGCAACCAGACACACAGGAACAGAGGGATTGAGGGCCCTGCTCAATGAGCTTACATGCTAGAGGGAGTGGGGTAATGTGACACAAAAGGTAAGGGTAGGGTAGAAAAGTAGGTTGCTAGGATAGTGTTCATTGAGGGCTTAGTGTTTTGTTTTGATAACAGTTGCAGGAGAGGAATCAGGGTGCAGGGAGGGGGTGGGGAAACTGTTCACAGTTAATTTGATATGCTTTCCTAAAGAAGTAAGTTTTCAAAGATTTTTTTGAAGGAGTCTACAGAGAGGGTAAGGGCATTCCATAGGAACATTGCAGCTCTAGAGTAGTCTATAAGGTGAGCATCAGAGGTAGGAGTACAAACAGAGGTTAGATGTAGGTCTCCGGCAGAGCGTAAGGGCATAGACGGGACATATTTGTGTATTAGTGAGGATAAGTAGGTCAGAGCAGCATTTGTAGAGATTTGTAAGCAAGTATCAGGATCTTAAATTAAGTCCTAAATCTTATGAAAATCAAATGTAGGGACTGAAAAGGGGAAGAGGCATGGGAGGTGTGGCTGGACAAGAAGATGATATGGTCTTAGCCTCTTTATAATGCTTAACAATACACTTAAGCTTAATAAACTTAATTTATATATAATCAATTTTACTTATGTTGTCGGATAAGTTTTGAAATGCAAAGCACACTTTTATTTGCGACTAATAATTCAGAGCAAATGTAAGCTTTTCATTCTCTGTTCTGGCAGCTGTACTTAACTTAAATTATTCCCAGTTCTGCTAAGATTCAACAGTGTATTGCTGTTAAGTTGAAGGAAAACTATAGTGCAGGAAAACAAATTAACCCCTCCTTTCACTTACTTGGGTCCAGCGCCGATATCCCTCGGCACTGGCTCGGCTCCATCTATGCTTCTCCCCTGCAGAAATGGCTGCGCTTGCATTAGGATTTCCCCATAGGATTACAGTGACGCTGGAAGCCCTAATGCATAGCGTAAGGACACAGATACACAAACACTGACTCATTACACATACAGATATACATACACACATAAACATAAATGACACAGACAACACAAACACACATAACACATGTACAGGTGATACTCGAAAAATTTTAATATCGTGCAAAAGTTCATTTATTTCAGTAATGCAACATAAAAGGGGAAACTAATTTATGAGATAGACGCATTACATGCAAAGCAAGATAGTTCAAGCCGTGATTTGTCATAAGTGCAATGATTATGGCTTACAGCTAATGAAAACCCCAAATCCACAATCTCAGTAAATTAGAATATTACATGCAATCAATAAAACAAGGAGTGTACATAGAACAATATCGGACCTCTGAAAAGTATAAGCATGCATATGGACTCAGTACTTGGTTTGGGCCCCTTTTGCAGCAATTACTGTCTCAATGCGACTTGGCATGGAAGCTATCAGCCTGTGGCACTGCTGAGGTGTTATGGAAAACCAGGATGCTTCAATAGCAGCCTTCAGCTCTTCTGCATTGTTCGGTCTCATGTCTCTCATCTTTCTCTTGGCAATGCCCCATAGATTCTCTATGGGGTTCAGGTCAGGCGAGTTTGCTGGCCAATCAAGCACAGTAATCCCACGGTCATTGAACCAGGCTTTGGTGCTTTTGGCAGTGTGGGTAGGTGTCAAGTCCTGCTGGAAAATGTCAGCATCCCCATAAAGCTTGTCTGCGGAAGGAAGCATGAAGTGCTCCAAAATCTCCTGGTAGATGGCTGCGTTAACCCTGGACCTAATGAAGCACAGTGGACCAACACCAGCAGATGACATGGCTCCCCAAATCAACACAGACTGTGGAAACTTCACACTGGACTTCAAACATCTTGCAGTGTGTGCCTCTCCATTCTTCCTCCAGACTCTGGGTCCTTGGTTTCCAAATGAGATGCAAAAGTTGCTGTCATCAGAAAAGAGGACTTTGGACCACTGAGCAACAGACCAGGTCTGTTTTTCTTTAGCCCAGGTAAGACACTTCTGACGTTGTTTGTTGTTCAGGAGCGTCTTGACATGAGGAATATGACATCCTGTCCTGTCCAGGATCCGTCTCTGTGTGGTGGCTCTTGATGCACTGACTCCAGCCTCAGTCCACTCCTTGTGAAAGTCCCCAACACTTCTGAATGGCCTTTTCCTGACAATCCTCTCCAGGCTGCGGTCATCCCTGCTGCTTGTGCACCTTTTTCTTCCACACTTTTCCTTTGCACATAACTTTCTATTAATGTGCTTTGATACAGCACTTTGGGAGCATCCAACTTTCTTCGCAATTACCTTTTGAGGCTTTCCCTCCTTATGGAGGGTGTCAATGATGGCTTTCTGCACAACTGTCAGGTCAGCAGTCTCCCCCATGATTGTGATTCCTACTGAACCAGACAGAGACCATTTAAAGGCTCAGAAACCCTTTGCAGGTGCTATGGCTTACTTAGCTGATTAGAGAGGGACACTGTGAGCCTAGAATATTGCACCTTTTCACAATATTCTAATTTACTGAGATTGTGGATTTGGGGTTTTCATGAGCTGTAAGCCATAATCATCGCACTTATGACAAATCAGGGCTTAAACTATCTTGCTTTGCATGTAATGCTTCTATCTCATTTATTAGTTTCCCCATTTATGTTGTATTACTGAATTAAATGTACTTCTGCACGATATTCTAATTTTTCGAGTATCACCTGTACAGTTGCTGAAATGAAGTGCAAGCTCATGAGACAATCAAGCAAACCACAGAATTGTGGTAGCCAAAAAAATTTAAAACTTTTTTACACCTTAAATTGAGTGAGCTAAACAGGTCAATCTCAGTTAGAAAAAGTCAAACAAGTCCAACAATTAACACTGTATGCATCATTGTTTATTTTGTTTTTATGCTACCACATTCCAGATGATAGATCTGCAATCCCACGTTGCTTTTACGTTTTTTAAATTGTTGTCCTGTATGGTAAAATGAAATCTGCCTGACCTGGTCCTAGTTGTGGAAATGTAAAGTTAATGTACTTCTGAAAAGCTTGTCTGGTCTCTACTATCTCTTCTTCCAGTTTCTCCTTTGAATATACCACAGCTTTTAGTTGCTTTTCTGTGCGTTTATGGGAGGCTTCAACCTTGGATATATAAGCTTTAAGCTCCTTTATATCCGCCTGATGTTGTACTTCTTTAAGTTTTAAAATTTCTTTCATTTTATCTTGCTCCTCTTGCCGAGCTACTGTAACCTTATGTATCATTAGCAAATTCATATTTTCTTGAAGTTCTTCCATGTTCTTCTGGTGTCTGTAATCCGCTATTGCTAGTGCTTCCCTGTTCTGCTGCATAAGTGCCCTATATAGATATACACAATGTAATTACTATAATCATCTACACATAACATGCTATTATAACCACTTTATATAATCTCATTCAAAGTGTGTTATAAAGCAAATAAATATTATATAGCACCTCTAGACATTATAGCAGTAACGTTCCCTTTTAAATAAACATTTTCTTACCAGTTTCAAAAACATTAAACCCACTTGCCTAATATCGTGTAGTTCATCCTCGTGCTGCCAAAACAACTCTAATGCATCAAGGCATGGACTCCACAAGACATCTGAACGTGTCCTGTGGTATCTGGCACCAGGACATTAGCAGCAGATACTTTAAGTCCTACAAAGAGCGAGGCGGGGCCTCCATGGATCAGATTTGTTGTTTCAGCACATCCACAGATGCTCAATCAGATTGAGATCTGGGGAGTTTGGAGGCCAAAGCAACACTTTAAACTCAAAGTGTCATTCATGTTCATCAAACCATTCCTGAACAACTTTTGCAGTGTGGCAGGGTACATTATCCTGCTGAAAGAGGCCACTGCCATCAGTGAACACAATTGCCATGAAGGGCTGTACGTGGTCTGCAACAATCTCTAAGTAGGTGGTACGTGTCAACATCCACATCTCTTTCAGACTCATTCAAACGGGCAGAACGGGATTTACCGATTGGATACATTATTCCCTCATGGATTGAATGAGGAATGCGACTTCAACCCTTTTAGGTAATTGACAATTTTTTGATTTCTCTTTCATGCATATTAGACATAATTATTGACCTCTGCCGAGAATTTTTAATACTGAGTTTGATTACTAAAAATGTTTTACTTCACAGTCTTTTCTGGTGACTATGGCCATTGGATGTTTGGAGTCCTGCATATTTATGGACAATGATATGGAGTTACAGTGGACTCGTATGTGCATTGCAAGAAGTGTCCTGGATATCGACAATAGCTACTAGTTTTGATTTGTATTTTTGTTCGACTATGCCTTTTGTACATTAGAGATATGATACAATTTAATTGTTGGGTTTTGAATACATTCTTGAATACATATTTATGTTGATTCCATTTAGGATTATTTACATCTGTCATGTAATATGGCTTAGTAGGAACATGTTAGTCTTGTTTATGATTTATATACTTTAGTTTGTGTGGACTTATTTATCTCCTTTGGAATATTTGTGTATGCAGGGTTTATTGCTTTTTGCAGGTTAATGCACATATGTCTTTTATCATATTAGTAGTGTTTATGATAAACAGGCTTATTGTGGAGAATGTGCAGGACTATGTGTTTGATACGACATATGTTTATTTATTATTAATTGTTTTGATTATCAATTTGGTCTCTTTTTTTCTTTTCACCTTATTTGCTCTATTTTAGTTTTATGAGTTTTCTTTTTTTTATCTTGTTGTTTATTAATGTGTGATACTTGGGTGTCTGTCCTACTTCTATTCCTTATCCACAAGGTGATAGCCCAGCGCTATGACACTGTCATTTGTACTGATAATGTACTGCAGTACTTCCATTCTCCACTATTGTAACATGTTACTGGATCGGCTATTTTGATCCCTTGAATGGCACAAGCGCAGTCGCATTTTGGAATGCATTATGTGTTCCATTCGCCGATTCTAGTTTTTCCTTTAGTGCACACGCGCGAGTTCACAGTCCCGTCTTGTTTCCGGGGGATGGATGCCGGGGTTTGGAGCTCTTGGAGACGGTGGAACGCTTATGCATAACACCCGTTCTTCGTCTAGCGGTGCTACAGGCGGAGTTGATATTGATGTGCCCAAATTCCATATAGTTATCTCTGGTTCCCCTGCAGCCTAATGAGACATGAGGATTATTGAGGTATGAGATAGCGGCCTCACACATGTGTAGGACGCCATGGGTATAGATTTCCTATCAGTACCATTCTTTTCTGTATATATTGTGGGGATCATAACAGTTTTGCCTATGGTTTATATGATATCCTATTTTTGGGGCTATTTTGTGTTTGACGTCTTCACCCTCTTCTCATGTTTCTTGTTTTTGGTATGTATCTTGTGGTTCACTTTCTTATACAGGTATCATAATATAGTTTTTTTTTGTTTTTTTTGCATAAGTGGATTATTTAGATCAGAATCTCTCTTTTTTTCTATTTTCCTTTGGTCCCAGTCATTGCTTGCATATTGGTTAGATATGTTTGAGTAAATTGACACTCTAAGATGCCCTTGTTGATACCTGTTATATATGTTCCTGTATAATAAAGTTTTTTGCATTTTTTATTGGTTGTGCTCCTCCTTTCTGTATTATATGATTATACACCCTGTTCCAAATTATTATGCAAATTATATTTTTCTAATTTACCTAAATAATTAATGTAAATAATAGTCAGCATAATTCTCATGTTATCAACTATTAAGAGTACAACTCAAATTATATTGAACGAACCTCTTAATAACAGTATTTTTTTTAACATAAAAAAAACATACAATGCACTGTTCCAAATTATTACGCACAGTAAGTTTCAAAACACTTTATAGGTTGTAAAGAACTGAAAATTGTCATTTGTTGTGTTTGCAGCATATTTACTGAAATCAAAAGCTATTTCAATCAAACTTATAACAACATATTAACAGGTCACGTTACATTTTCACATAGGACCCCTTATTTGATAGAAGCTTCACAAGTCTTACATCCATTGAACTTGTTAGTTTTTGGACAGTTTCTGCTTGAATTTGTTTGCAAGATGTCAGAATAGCCTCCCAGAGCTGCTGTTTGGATGTAAACTGCCTTCCACCCTCATAGATTTTTTGCTTGAGGATGCTCCAAAGGTTCTCAATAGGATTGAGGTCAGGGGTGGATGGAGGCCACACCATGACTTTCTCTACTTTTGTCCCCATAGCAGCCATTGATGCAGAGGTATTCTTTGCAGCATGAGATGGTGCATTGTCATGCATGAAGATAATTTTATTACGGAAAGCATAGTTCTTTCTTCTGTACCAGGAAAGAAAGTGGTCAGTCAGAAACTCCACATACTTTAGAGAGGTCATCTTTACACCTTCGGGGACCCTAAAGGGGCTGACCAGCTCTCTTCCCATGATTCCGGCCCAAAACATGACTCCACCACCACCTTGCTGACGTCGCAGCCTTGTTGGAACAGGGTGGCCGTTCACCAACCATCCACTACTCCATCTATCTGTACCATCCAGGGTTGCACGGCACTCATCAGTAAACAGGACTGTTTGAAAATTAGTCTTCATGTATTTTTGTGCCTAATGCAGCCGTTTCTGCTTGTGAGTATTGGTTAGTGGGGGCCGAATAGAAGGTTTATGCACAGTTGCAAGACTCTGGAGGACTCTACACCTTGATGTCCGTGCGACTCCAGAGGCACCAGCAGCTTCAAATATCTGTTTGCTGCTATGTAATGGTATTTTAGCAGCTGCTCTCTTGATCCGATGCATGGGTCAGGCAGAAATCTTCCTCAATGTGCATTTATCTGCACTAACCCGTCTGTGCTCTGAATCAGCCACAAATCTCTTAATAGTGCGATGATAACGCTTACGTTTTCGTGAAATATCTAATGTTTTCATACCTCGTCCAAGGCATTGAACTATTTCACTCTTTTCGGCAGCAGAGAGATCCTTTTTCTTCCCCATATTGCATGAAAATGGTGCTCTGCTTAATAATGTGGAACACCCTCCTTTAGTAGTTGTTACAAGGACTCTATATACCGTTACAGCATAACCTTCTTTCGATTAAAACCCCTATTATGTCAGCATTCAGACCATACGAACGCATTGCACAAACTTTTATAAAGGTGTATTCGTCTGTACGAACGATGGACCACCCAGTCCTTGGCGTGTGCCGCCACTTAACCCCTTCACCTCTACAAGTACCGAATGACAGACCACCCTACGGGCGGAGTGTGCCACTCACTAACCGCATAAGGCGCCGCGGTCTGCGGTTAACCACCAACTAATGGACGGTCCCAGGGGACCCACGTTCATATGTAATTCCCCGAAGGGAAACGCCTGAAAGCCTCACGAACAAGGACCACCTGCATTCTGGCGTGTGGCAGCAATTAGAACGCGGCTCTTGCGTTAACCGCAGGATAAGTACCCCCTTCCGGGCGGTCGCCCTTCGTCTCCCGAACGGCCAGGACAACCAGACTGAGAGCGGGGATTCGTGCACTTCTGTAGCCGACCCCCGCTCCATGAGTAATAGGTCGAGGTCCCGCTGTCCATTGACCGAGCTCAAAACATGGTCGCCATCAGGGGTGATACACCAAAGTGCCGAATAATACTTTCTACGGCAGAAACCCCCTGTTCTGTTCGTGGGATCTGGGCGCAATTCGTATACTTGAAGCGCCCAGATCTGAGCTGCCGAATGAATAGTGGAATGAACCATATTCCCCCTGAAATGTCAAAGTTATGTATTTTTATGCTGTTTTCTAGGACACAATAAAGCATGGTCTTTGGGTGCTTGGAGATAATTAGGTTGTATAAACCGTTGGCCTCATTATCTCCAAGCTGGGCGGGTACTAGTTTAAATGATACATTGTATTATGATTGGTTGAATCCTTGTATGGTACCTGTATCCCATCAGGTCCATGGGGGGCTGTCCCTGGACCTGGGGACTTGAATAAATTGCCATGCTTGTGTGCCAGAAAAGCCAGTTCGTTTTGACCCTCAACTCGCAGCCTTGACTCGCGTTGTAGGGATCCGGGAATCCTAGCGTTACTATAGCTGGTGGGATATTCTACACTTACGGGTTTCTACCGATTGAAGCACCGTTCGACTCTCTGACTTCGGGAACCAAGACATCCAAGCGATCCAACCTCCTGCTAGCCCGGAGGCAATCGTAACAATTGGTGGCAGCGGCGGGACCATCCTGGATTTCCTAAGAGAAGTATAGAACGGATGGAGAGCAACTACGATAAACTGAAGCGCAACACGTTAAAGGATTTACTCGAAAGCCGAGGTGGGAACGCGAGCAACTGGCCAAGGAGAGAATTGATTGCTGATCTAACCGAGCTAGATCAGAGCTCCACCATGACAGAATCTACAGTAATGTCCAGTGACGAGAAGACAAGGATTGTCAGGGAAAGACTTCCTCTGTATGGACCGAACCCATCCGTGGAATTGGTGCAACAATTGATGGCGGAGGCAGAGGCGGATATACAAAGAGCCAGAGCCCACGAGCTCAGCGTACTGACCGCCCAACGTGGTCCTACCGCTACTGCACACAGCAGCTCCACGGAAATTGCAGAGCAACAGAAAATCCCGTTCGCAGCATTCAACCCGTTCGTGGAAAACGAGATGGGGATCGACTAATTTTTAGCCGATTTTGAGAGGCAATGTGCGCTTCATCAAATCCCCCCAGCAGCATGGCCTCGTATCCTGGTGTGGAAACTAGCCGGGCAAGCGATGGAGGCTTTTAGAACCCTCAGAACGAGGAGGTGGCCCAATACCAGCTCGTGAAGGACACTCTGTTGAAACGATATGCAGTGACCCCCGACACGTACCGAAGACAGTTCCGCAACACCAAGAAAAAAACGAATGCGGAGGGCTGCTACCCATTGGATTAACAGATGTCGGGCAGTCACTGCAACAGAAATTTTGGAACAATTTTTATTAGAGCATTTTTATGAGGGACTAGAACAGAAAGACAGGGAGTGGTTGAAGGACCGACGGCCTAACGATCTCAACGAAGCAGCAAGACTGGCGGACGAACATCGAGACGCTCAGATACAGGAATTTAACAACTCCCGAACGGTGACCCGTACCGAACCGAGAGACACGTACCGAACCAGCCCGCGAACGGAATTTCGTACACCGGTGCCAGCGGGACCTACCCATTACACCGGACCACCCAGCCACTACAACAAAGAATGCTCCCGGCCCACCTGCTTCAAATGCAAGCAGCCGGGGTACCTCATCGCTAACTGCCCCCTCAACAACAACTAACCCTCACGGAATTACAATTCACTCCCCTCAGGCAATAGCCGCCCAGGTCGCGCTCTCTGTATTGAAAAGGAAAGCCCTCTGGAAGAATATCTGGGACCTCTCCATGAAGCCAACCCCGTGTATGCTGCAAACGACAACCGGCAGCACCACAGACAAGAGGTATTACTGGAGGGCCGCCCCACTCAGGGGTTAAGAGACACCAGGGCCACTATCACCCTGGTACAAGGCCGACTGGTGCCAGAACTTAAACGCTCTACAGACACTGTCGCTGTCAGGGTGGCTGGAGGGGACATCTACAAATTACCAACGTAATGTGCATTTGGATTGGGGTGCGGGGAAAGGACTCGTGCGGGTGGGAATCATGGACAACTTGCCAGCTGAGTTTTTACTGGGAAACAACCTGGGCCCCATGACTTCAGCATATGCTCCGTCCTACAACTCGGAAGGCACATTCCCTTTTAAAGTTGCTGCCTTATCCTGTTATTAAGCGCTAACCCTTTCTTTTTTCTCTTTTTTACATCCTGTCACTACCCGGTCGCAAGCAGGAAGGAACCAAGACCCTTCACCAGTTCGGGAGACTCAGGTAAGACTAACCCCGACTGTGATCAATTACCCTTCGCCCTTACCCTGGGATACACCGACAGCCTTTGAGGCTGAGACTAAAACTGACCCGACACTCCAGAAGTATAGAGAGTGGGCCGATACAGGGACTGGGGGTTCAGACCACGAGACATTTGCGTGGGAACAGGGCAGACTGTACCGGCATACCGAAAAAAAGGGACACCGTAGGAGACAGCTGGTCATTCCCCACAAGTATAGACGAGATATACTACGGGTGGGTTATGATATCCCATTAGCCGGACACTTAGCAGTAACGCGTACCCTCCACCGTATTACCCATGCCTTCTTCTGGCCAGGGGTG